TTTTCTGATAAGAAGTGTGCGCTGCAAACGTGAGCATTTTTGGCGATAGTTTCTGTCCAGTCCACTCGTTTTATCGGGTTTAACCACAGCTGTCCTCGGTTTTTTGTCTGGCAGTGGCAGCAGATATGCGATCAAATTTCTAATTTAAGGCTGTATTACATCGATTCTGGCACCCAACATCACAACAAGATGATATTTTAAGCTCCTTATGTAGCCGAATCTGCGCTGGTTTGAATGGGCCGCCTCCAGTTTCCCCTTTGTTTTGCTGCCTCCAGCTAGCGCTGTGGCAGTAGAGCTGGGGTGGGCCTGGCCGTGCGTCACTCAGAAAAAAACAGGCCAATCAGAAGAGAGGCTCATGAATATTAATTAGACAGGCCAAAATCGACCTGTTCTCAGCAGAGCTCCTGAGAAAGGAGCTGTAAAAATATATTGAGATGGTTTTTGGTACTTATACCGCAAATATATATTCTTAAGGACATCAAAACCTAAAATAAAACTCCATAAAGGTGTACAATATGGGACCTTTAAGAAAAAGAAAAAGAAAAACAAGTGTGAAAGAGCAGGCGCAAGAGGATGAGTGCTGTAGCTATGCACAGTTTAAAGCAGATTTGTCATACGGTGGCTGACGTTTATGATATTCTCGGCAGTCGGCCTATTACAGAGCGTTCCCATCGCTGGAACTTCTCGCTGACGGTGCGCTATTGTTCCGACGGTCGTGGGAGAGCGGGAGGCATAAGGAGTCTTGCGGAGGGATGGATGTGTCAAACGAAGATGAATAAAGCATGCTAGTAATAAAAAAAAAATAACAACAGGCTAGAGGCAGAAGTGGCTGGAGTGGAGGGGAAGTAATTGGGTTTCCTAATCGTTCCTCTGGGTGACGCGCGGCATCAGCCAATAAATGGAGAGATGGCGTGATCATTCAATCACTCCCTCACTTCCTCTCTCTTTCTCCCTCTGTTTGTCGAGTAGAGGGCATCAATAATGTAAACGAGTCTCTGCTGAGGAGTCGGGGCAGCTCCTGAAATTACCAATGTAAGAAATGTGAGGAAAACAGAGAGGAAGGGCGCTGTGGGACAGCAGTGACTCGACTGACAAACATGAGGTCGCTTTCTGAATTAGGCCAAACCAGGCCGGCGAAGAGGCAAAGGAATGTTTCATAACTTATAAAGTTGCACACCTTTAACACATCAATGAGAGCTTGCTCAACTCGGACCTGTTCTATCTTGTACAATGAATTATGATCTAATTCTATGTTATGGTGGGAAAAAGAAGTAATAACAGTATTTGAAAATCATTTGCTTTTAATGGGGCAGTACAAAGACTTTATGCATGTGAAAATGCATGTGTTTCTGATTAGGAAAAGAGAGTTTTTCAGTTTTTCTAAGGAAGGCTGTGGATTTTGGCTAAAAACACATGCGCAACAGCAAACATGCCCTCTGAAAGTGTGTGAAACACGTTTTACTGTACTTTAAACACATTTAAATTCATTAAAAACCTGATCAGATGCTAAAAGTGACATGATCTCTGATATAAAGTGAGACCCTGACTTGTCAAAAAATAGTATCAAGCACTGAACAGATTAAACAGTTTGTGTTGAAATGATACACCAATTCCCTGATATAAATATTTCAGAATTATTTGGGATAGCAAACCTGATCAGATGCTAAAAGTGACATGATCTCTGATATAAAGTGAGACCCTGACTTGTCAAAAAATAGTATCAAGCACCGAACAGATTAAACAGTTTGTGTTGAAATGATACACCAATTCCCTGATATAAATATTTCAGAATTATTTGGGATAGTAAGCCAAAATGATCCTCAGCAAACAAATGAAGCACACATGTTTGCTTGGAAACAATCAAGCGTAATGTGATGGCCTTTTACTTTGGAAATGTAAATGTAACCCTTATTTAGTCTCTCCACTTTATATATATACAGTATATATCTATTTTTTTTGTTATTTGTTATGTTGCTGCCTTATGTTAAACTGCTTTAAATTACTTTTTCCCACATCAATCTACACTCCATACACCATATTGACAAAGCAAAAACAGAATTGTCACAACTTCGTAAATGTATTAAAAATAAAAAACTGAAATAAGTACATTGCATAAGTATTAACTAAATATTTAGCTGAAGCACCTTTACAGTCTCAAGTCTTTTTTTTTTTGATGCGACAAGCTTTGCTCATTATCATTTGGCTATTATCTGCCATTTTATTCCTCGCCTCTTCACCTCTCAAGCTCTGTCAGGTTGGATGGGGGCAGATGCACATTTTCAGGTTTCTCCAGAAATATTTGATTGAGTTCAAGTCCAGGCTCTGGCTGGGCCACTCAAGGACATTCACAGAGTTGTCTATAAGCCACTCTTGCTGTGTGCTTAGGGTCATTGTCCTTTTGGAAGGTGAACCTTCTGCCCAGTCTGAGGTTCTGAATGCTCTGGACTAGGCTATCTC